TATATATATATATATAATGAGATTTGTACGACGGATTAGATGTTTTATATTACTTTCCCTTATTCGCCATTGTATCATACGGGTATTTTGGGTACTTCTGGGACATCTCTTACATTCGCGCTACCAGTGGCATTTATTTCGTTGGCTTTGAAAGTTGTAAAAATTTTCGTTTATTCTTAAATATTGTAATTCCCCCCCCCCCAACGTAACGATTTATAAAGAGAGGCACTAATGCATAAGAAAAAATTGAAATGACTGTCGTACTTGTCAAAATGGGAAAATGAATAAAGTAAATGGTTTTAGGATCAATCTGTGGAATACTCCAGAACCTCTGATCAGAAGCTGGAAAATTATTTACAGACAAACAAGCTACTTTATAGTATAGACTCCTTTACGTTGTAATCTATAGGAGCGGTGCTTTAACTCATTAGCTGTTTTCATAATGTTTCTATAATAATGTACACAGTTAAAAAACAAAAAGGGCTGTAACGTTTTATCAAATTAAGTGTGACATAATACGCTATTGGCATTACGCTGTATTATGTCACATTGTTTGTCTGAACGTTAATAAGACGTTATTTGTCTGCTTCTAATTTTGATATCTCAGATTTACAAACCCTGCGTTAATAATTCTACACGAATATATTCTGATTACCTATCAACGTCTTATAAAAACTTGCATGTGTTCACTCTAGTCTTAGGGTTAGAAATACATCATGCTTCTAATTTTGATATCTCAGATTTACAAACCCTGCGTTAATAATCCTACACGAATATATTCTGATTGCCTATCCACGTCTTATAAAAACTTGCATGTGTTCACTCAAGTCTTAGGGTTAGCAATACATCATCACCTCGGTCTTGTCGTCTTCGAGGGACGGCCCATCCGCAGAGATCACAGTCTCATCAGTTTCTACTTCATACGTCAGTCTGGGCCTCCGTTTCGTCTTCTTGGCCTTTCGAGCATCGCCAGTCACGCTGAAATGTTCATCCATGTTGGTGGGCAGACGAGTTTGGGTTCAAATGACTTGTCTAACGTCGAGGTCGATTTAACCAATCCATCCGGGCCGTTCCTACTCCCTTTCGCAAACGGTAGGGTACCCCCTTTTCTCTGACGTCACTACCATAAGGTTTCATACTGTGCTTATCTAACATCATTTAAGTTCTCCCAGAGACAGACTAGAATAACCATGCAGTACCGAGTGCAAAACGTTGGTATTTTGGCCAGTGGACTTTCGTCTACAGATGTCATTTGGGTGACCTTAAAAGGAAGCGGATGAAAACTGGAAGAAACCGGGAATTTATGACAACTCTTCGGCTTTTTCGCCCTAATCTGTTCCATCAGCACGGAATATCGCAATCAAAACAAAACTGAAACCGCGTCCCCCCAGGGAATATGCAGACAGTTGTATAGTCATTTAAAGTGTGCAGACCATCTTTAAGTCTCGCTCGCGTGTAGAAAGGCGTATCAGAGAAAAGATGTTGGTAGTTTAAACATACTACTGACTTTCACGATGCTGACAAGTTTTAGAAAAGACTGTTCTTTAAGTAATATTAATAACCAGTTGACTTTTAAAGTAAATTCTGCGTTTCAACCGTATATCGATTTTTTCATTTATTTCCAAAAAAATATACGAGTTTACTGACTTTTTAATAAAGTTGTGCATGAAGGATTTGATATCAGTTTCTTGATCTGACTGAGTGTAAACCTAGAACAAATCGGTTACGATGTAGTTAGGGTAGTTTAAATAGCCAGGAACGAATATGTTAGGTTGCAGCAACTGTTGACAGCCAGGAATGAATGAGATAGGTTGTAGCTAC